TTGTAATGCAATGGAAATTATGTGCTTTCACCACATAATTCTGTGATGCGTGTAGTCCAGCCAGCACTGGAAAGTGAGAAAAAGCGTCTTCTGCCATGCAGTTTGGGAAGGGGGTCGCTTGCCTCTCTTTGAAGCTGTGTTGAGAACTGGGCAGTTCATTAGCTTGGGTTAGCTTCTCTGCGTTGCCATGGAGACTTGCAGTAATGGGGTTGGTGTGTGATGCCACCCATAGCCCCTGTGATGCCAGCATCCTGAGTAGAAGTGCTGCTTGCAGTCCCCGCTGCTCCACTTGACATGCTGCCCCGTGGGAGTCCCTGGATCCTGGCCTCAGCAGCCTAGCTGTGACTGTGGAAGCACCTGGGGATCTAATCAGTGGCTGGAAGATCTCACTGTCTCTCCGTTTCTCTTTGTAGCTCTGACTTTCAAATAAGTAATCTCTTTGAAAAAAGAAATGATTCCGTGAGGGCAGGCGGGCATCGGGCCTAGCAGTTCAGATGTGGCTTGAGATGCCCACCTCCCAAAGGGGAGATCCAGCGTTCAAGGGTCAGCTCTGCTTCTGGCCAACGTGCCACGTGGGAGGCAGCCGAAGATGGCTCAGTGGTTGGGTGTCTACCTCCCACTCGGGAGACCTGAAAAAATTTCCCGTGGCCAGCATTTGGGGAGTGAACCAGTGTCTGGGAACTCACTCCTGTCTGCCTCTCAAGTAAGTAAAGATGAATAATTTTTAAAATCCAGTGGTGTGATGACTCAGAATATTTATACCCAGCTGGTTTTATTGAAAAACCTGCTAGAGATCTTATCACAGGTAGCCTTTTCCTCCTCTAAGGTAATGAATTCTTTCCACTTTAGAGGAAGTATGTGATTGCAATTATATGGGATAAATGTGCATAGTCGCAGATTTGTAGGTGACATAACAACAGTTACGTCACTGGGAGGAAGCAGGCGACGGCTCGGGTCCTTGCCTACCCCCACTGTGGCAGATCCTGGGTAAAGCCCAGTGGCTCTGGCCTGACCCAGCCTCATCCATTGTAGGTATTTGGGGAATGAAATGGCATTTGGAAGATCTCTGCCTTTTAAAATAAAAAAGAAAATAATAAAATTGTAGAGGAAAAAATTTGGAGGAGCAAAAATAAAAAGAAAATTTTAAGCACTATTGCCACCTGATCAACTTTTTGTGTGTTTCAAAGTTTCTATATTTATTTATTTGAATGTCACAGTTACCTAGACACACACAGAGAGCTCCTTTGTCCGCTGGTTTGCCCTCCAAATGACTGCTACGACTGAGGTTGTGCCAGGTAGAAGCCAGAAGTCTGGAACTTTCTCCGGATCTCCCAGAAGAACCAAGCACCCCAGGTCATCTTCCATCAGCCATTTTTGGGGTATATGCTTTCACTGTGGGATAAAAGATAAGCCCTCTTTGGGAGAGTTAAGCAGATGACATGAGAAGCTTTTTAGGATCATCTCTGTTTGAAAGCCAGAGTGACAGAAACGCACTCAGGCTGAGAGGGAGCGCTCCTGGGGCCTGCGGGCTCGGTCCCCGGATGCCCAGAGCGGCGAGGGCTGGCCAGGCAGAAGGCAGGGGCAGGGACTGCGCCCAAGCCTCCAGACGGCCTGAGCCCGCACCTGCTGCGTCCCAGGGTGTTCGTCAGCACTTGCTGGCGGGAAGCTGAACTGGAAGCAGGCTATCTGGGACTTGATCCCGCATGCCACGCAATGGCTGAATGCACTGTTCCACACTGCCTGTCCTAAAGAGAAAAAAATTTTAAATCTCATGATCCCTCGACCTAGAGACTGTGTCATGATCCCCCTTTTTATTTGTATGTAAACATATGTTTTTTTTGCCATGCGATCATATTATTTAAATTACTTTTTACATTTTGATTTCATAAACTATGAACACCTGCTAATATCAACACATTCTCACCTGTTTCACAGTTTTTAATGGTTGGTATCCCATTGTATATCTACAACAGAACTTAGCTGTCACACCAGGTTTCCTTTTTAGAAAACACTTTAAAAAAAAGAGGATTTAAAAGCAAATTTAAAGAGAAAAGGAGAGACAGGAAGATCTTCCATTCCCTGGTTCACTCCCCAAATGGCCGCTGTAGCTGGAATCAGGAGCCAGGAGCCACCTTATGCTGCTTTCCTAGGCCATTAACAGGGAGTTGGATCGGAAGTGATACAAGCCGGGACACAGCATCCATATAGGATGCCCATGCCATAGGCACGCAAGTAGAGGATTGGCCTGCTCTGCCACCACCACTGGCCCCTTTGTAAATCTTCTTCGGTTCTTCCTGGGTCAATTCATTTTGTTTTGTCATAATGGCAGTCCCAGACAACTTTCAGAATTGAAAGTTAATAATGCTGGCCCCCCGTGTGGGATACCCGGAAGAAGTTCCCGGATCCTGACTTCAGATCGGCATAGCATCGGCTGTTGCACTCACTTGGGGAGTGAATCATCAGACGGAACATCTTCCTCTCTGTCTCTCCTCCTCTCTGTATCTCTGACTTTCCAATAAATAAATAAATCTTAAAAAAAAAAATACAAAGCATCATATGTTTAAAAAAAAATGCTGGCCCAGCACGGTAGCCTAGTGGCTGAAGTCCTCACCCTGCATGTGACAGGATCCCACTGGGGTGCCGATTCTGATCTCAGCAGCTCCACTTCCCATCCAGCTCCCTGCTTGTGGCCTGGGAAAGCAGTGGAGGGATGGCCCAAAGCTTTGGGACCCTGCACCCGTGTGGGAGACCGGGAGGAGGCTCCTGACTCCTGGCTCTAGATCAGCACAGTACCGGCCATTGTGGCCATTTAGGGGATGAATCAGTGGATGGAAGATCTTTGTCTCTCCTTCTCTCTGTATATCTGACTTTCCGATAAAAATAAATATGCCTCCTGTAGGAGAGTGCCTGAGTTGGAGTCCTGGTTCTGGTCTTGAGTTCAGCTTCCTGCTCCCAGTGCACCTGTAGGCAGTAGTGCTCAGGTTGGGCTCCTGGCACCACCAGAGCACCTGAATTGAGTTCCCAGCACCCATCTGTGGCCTGGCCCAGACCCCACTCTTGGGGGGCACTTGGGAAATGAACCACTGTTTCCTTCCCTTGGGGCCCATTCGTCAGCTGAGTTCCTGCTCTGCCCTGCTGTGGCCTTACCCCTTCCCCGCGTCCTCACTACACCAAGGTTAGAATCTCATCATTCTGGGGTTCCATTCCCTGCGGCATAAGTAGAGGGTGCAAATACCAGGTGGTTTTGTAAGTTAAGGACCTGCAACTTTGTCACAAGCCATTCCCTGTTATCTCTGTCCTGCATCGGAGCTATGCATGCAGAATTGGGTGTTGAAATTTTCCAGTGGAAGCGGATGTTAGGCGGAGCTGCCGCAGCAGACACAGCTGGCAAGGTCATCAGATCGTTTCTGTGTTAGCCTTACTTGCAGCATTGGGCTTTGCAGGTTTGTTGAGATTTAAACTCCTGCTTTGGCAGAGAATGAGTGCTGATGTGACATGAGTGTGGAAATAAACATATCTGGAAAGTTTAAAGGGCTAGGTAAACGTGCTTCCTTACAAAATAACTGTTTGATTTCTAGGAGTAAATGTGAAGTCTTAAGGTAATTTTTAACCGTGAGTTTTAAAATTCTGATCTTGAGTTGGTTTCTGCCTCCAAGCCACCAGATCCTACCTTTGTGTTCACGTGCTGTTTGTTGCTGCTGATTGGTCCTCAGGTGGCTCTGTGGCCCACGCCAGAACATTCTTCTTGTGTTAGGTCTGTTCCTATTATTTGTGAAAACATTTTTATAGTAGTAAAAAAAGAAGAGCTAACCTATAAATATCATATTTAGGGATGTTATGGAAGGCTTTGTTTTCCATGTGCCTGTTTTCACTCAGTTTCTGCCATTCTTTATTGAAGAGGCCATTCCTGTTCTTGGTTTTTTCGAAAGGTCAGAGATTATGTAAAAAGTCAATCTTCCTCCCACCCCGGGCGTCATAGTTATCTCCTAATGCCTTCTGTTGCCTTTTCATAGAGTAATTGAATGCACTTTTGTTGTTAAATTTTTAAAAATTATTTATTTGAAAGGCAGCGTTACAGTGAGGGAGAGCATTCCAAAGCCAGGAGCCCGGAGTTTCTTTCAGGTCTCGCACGTGGCACAGGAATCCAAGTACCTTGGCCGGCCATCCTCCACTGCTTTCCCAGGCACATTAGCAGGGAGCTGGATCAGAAGTGGAGTAGCCTGGACTTGAACCAGTGTCCCCACAGGATGCCAGTGTTGCAGATGCCAGCTTTGCCCACTATTTTACAACACTAGCCTCCAACCACGTCTTTGTATATGTATGCAAATTTGTATATAGAATAAATTCCTAGAAACATAGTTGCTGAATTAAGGATCCCATGGGTATGGCAGTCAGAGGGAAAGAATTTATGTATTTAAAATTTTGCCATGTGGCCAAGTCAGAGGAAGGTCATCTTAGAAGATGGAAGCGTTTTCATGTCCTGCCTGGACTGTGGCTTTTTTTTTTCTTTTAATATTCAAGATGAGTGTGAGATTTTGCCAGTTAGATGTGTTCAAATGCTGCTCTTGGTGACTCGCCCCGGGACGCAGTGGGAAGTGGCCCAGAGCAGGTGAGGGCTTCCCTGCAAATGTCACTTTTCCTTTCCCACACAGTGGAGCCGAAAAGCACCATCCATTCTCAGACTCGTGCTGGTTACCAAATGCTGAGGTTCCTCCTTTTTTTGTTTTTTACTTTGAAGGTGAGAATATTTGACTTTCTAAAAAATTGAGTTGTCTTTTAGAAGTGGATTTTGAAAATGAAGTAGTTTTGTTGCCCAAAAATGAAATTTTGAAAAAAGGGAAAAGGTGAGTGAAACAATTCATAACAAAGGTTTTGGGTTTTTCTAGTTGTTTAACCCAGGAAGCGTATAATACTTAGCTCCACCATCCCCCACCGCCCCCCGAGTTCAGTTGACCTTTCTTGTGTGAGGTTGTCACATCATGCTGTATATTTTCTTTCAGATTCCTTTGTTTCTTCCTCTTCCTCTCAGCCTGTATCTCTATTTTCGACCTCACAAGGCAAGTCTGTAACTTTTTTTTGCACACTAATAAAAGACAAATGTTGAGAAAGAGGCTGTAACTGGGGAAGCGAGCTAGGGGGCTTCTGCTGCCCACTCCCTCAAGTCCCTTCAGATGGAGCTAATTGCACGCAGTCCTTTCTGTGGAGCAGTTCCCAACACATTTTCCGGAAAGAGTAATGAAATAGGATGAAGAAGTGTGCTTCCACCGCCAAACTACCAACCTGCCCGAGAGCATTTTCACGGGAACTTCTGAGGCGGTCCCGAAGAGCCAGCTAGTTCCAGGCTGCCGCGAAGCACTGAGCGAGAGCCAGACTTTATACGAGCGAGGTTTCTTGTCCTGGACATTAAGCTGTGGCTTTGTTACATGTCAAGCACCATTTCATCTGCGCTATTTTAGTAAACCTCAAAAGCAGAAAGGTGGAAAACGCTTATTTAAAAATAAGAAAAGAGGATCCAGCGCGGTGACCTAGTGGCTAAAGTCCTCGCCTTGAACGCGCCGGGATCCCATGTGGGCGCCGGTTCTAATCCCAACAGCCCCACTTCCCATCCAGCTCCCTGCTTGTGGCCTGGGAAAGCAGTCAAGGACGGCCCAAAGCTTAGGGACCCTGCAGCTGTGTGGGAGACTTGGAGAAAGTTCCTGGCTCCTGGCTTCGGATCAGCTCAGCACTGGCCGTTGTGCTCATTTGGGGAGTGAATCATTGGACAGAAGATCTTCCTCTCTGTCTCTCCTCCTTTCTGTGTATGACTTTGACATAAAATAAATCTTTTTTAAAAAGTAAATAAAATAAAAATAGGAAAAGTAGCTTATATCACTGGCCAGGTCTGAGAGTTCCCCAGCAGCCTACTGCAGCAGTGGGCTCGCCCCTGCAGTCTGGGTGCTGGCTTGTTGGAAAGACCGTGTTTACTCTTAGAAGAATGAACCCTAATAGGATCAAAGCAATGTCCTTGCAGTTGGTTCATTCATGCCAGCAACTGTAGGATGTCCCCCAATTTCTTCACAAGATGCTTTGTATGAATTTGGATATCCTGTGATCTAATCATGACCTTTGAAAGTAACGCTTGTTAAAAGAAATTTTGAATGTTACAAAGTAATTCCAACATCTAAAATAGCTCATTTTTTCACATTTGAAATCTCATTAGATAAACATTCTGCTCTGGAAAAAAATATATTTTGAAAGATTAATTTATTATTAATATTTTTAATGTGAAAGGCAGATACACAGAGAGAAGGAGCTGGTTCACTCCCCAAGTAGCCACAACAGCTGGAGCTAAACTGATCCAGACCAGGAGCGTGGAGCTTCTTCCAGGCTCCCACGTGGGTGCAGGGTCCCAAGGACTTCAGCTGTCCTCCACTGGTCTTCCAGGCCACAGGATGCCAGCACTGCAAGGTGGAGGATTAGCCTGTTGAGCCACTAGGTCAGGTCATTCTATTTCCTCTATTGTTAAAGTATTTCATATTTAAAAAAATAAAATAAATTCTCATTTCAAGTCAGGACATGCAGAAAGGGGAATTGAATGTATGAAATTAGAAAGATGACTCAGCACTTTGCAGATCCTTTTAGCCCCTGTGCAGCTACATGTAAACATAGGAGTGGAGGTTAACAGAAAGCACTTCCCTTATGAAGCCATTGTTTTGGCAGGCTGTTAGCATTTGTAAAAAGGGACACATTTGCCGATCTTTTTGCTTGCAGTGCAGACTTAGAAGAGTGTCCCTGTAGAGGTGGTTTTTAAAAGTTATATTCCTGAAATGGCTCCAGTGCAGCTCTATTAGTCGTGTGTTCTGCTGCAAAGAAACAAAACAAAGCAGAAAACTACACAGAGGAGTGCCCAGTGGGGCTCTCGCTCCTCGGCGGGTCTGGAGGCCCTTGTGTTCGGTCGTTAGAGACTCAGCACATGGGCAGGTGTATCGTGGGCTAGCCAAGGTGGGCAGCCTCTTAATCTCCCGTCATGAACAATAAGGGGGGAAGAGGCTGGCGGGGTGCGCTGAGCACACCCTGGGGCCGCCCCGGCACTCAGCCCAGGCCATCGCTGCCGTGCTGCTCTGTCAGCCAACCTTGAGGAAGCTACACCTTTCTCCAAATGCTCAGATGTAGTAAGTGGTAAGTACTAGTTAAGTAGGATTTTTTAAATTTAAGAGAGGCAGATAACCAAAAATGTCATGAATTTAAACTCAGAAAAAGGCAATTTAATTTGTTTTTTCAGTTACAATTTAGCACTAAGTTGTACAGCTCTAATAAAGCTACCTAACCCTAGGGAGATTGTTTTTGTGATATAGGAAATAGATTTGTAATTAGAATGTCAATAGCATAACCAGTTCCTTCTCTAAGTTGCACTCCTTAATCTTCTGATTAAGGATTTATTTTCCCATAAAGCAGAGTTAAATTTCAGCCCACTCTGTGAGAGTTTCAAAGAAGGGAAATAAACTTTAATGATTTCTTTTTTCTCTACCTTATGAAAGAGTTGAGCTCTGCGGCAGAGTTGGGCACGTGGGGTGTGGCCACCTATTCCAGAGCTTTCTCTGTGCTCGGTCCTTGCTGTGATCATCTCACTGACAGGGAGGAGTTCTCTGGCTAGTTGAGGAAACCGGGATTTCCGCAGTGAGGCAGCCCGCTCACTGTCATGCGGTGAAGGACAGGCAGACTGAGGCCTGCGCGGCCCTGAGAGAGGCAGTGGAGTGGGCAGCTGCGGGAAGCGCAGACTTGCAGAGATGTCATTTTGACGTTAGAGCAGATGCTTTAACTGCATCGTTGCTGTTCGTGATACAGTTCAGCATCATCTGCCAGAATGTTCCCTCCACCAACACACAACCTAGTTTTGAAACCTTTCATGAGAGTAGAGGCTGGAAAACTTTCTTTAGAAACGTTTTAAGAAGCCTAAGATTGGTCCGAGACGCCATGCAGCGTGCAGGGTTGGAAGCACACTGCGTTAACCGGTGCTGCTGTTCAGTTGGGCTGCTCTGGGCACCTGGAATAGGAAGTTAGAACATGAAAGTTTGGGGCAAGCATTGAGGAAATAATTTGCCAGTTACAGCCTTTTTAAAACAAAGAAAAGAAAAAACAAAAACATTTTTCTTTGTACAAAAGAGATTTTTTTGTTGAGGGCCTAGCTTGGCTGCGAAGTGTCTGCTGGCTGGCTGCTTCCCGTTTTGATGCTGTGGCTGTTCTGCACGGTAGTTTGTGTCTTTTTTTTGTTTTGTTTTGTGACTGTAAGAAAATTCAAGTGTAGGAGAACCTATACCTGAATATGTCAAGCCGCCCTCATGTGACAATGCAGTGTCTGTATTTGGCGAAGTAACTTCATGACTACTACAAGCTGGCATCCTTTCTTCACCGACGTGTGTAGTTTTTCACTATCACCAAGCACTCTCTTAATTTAAATTAACATGCCACTTGGGACACCCCGTCCTGTAATACGTGGGTCTCGGCTTGGGCTCTGCTGCCACTTCCTGCCAGTATGTGCCCGGGGAGGTGGCAGCAGATGACGGCTCAGCTGGCTCGTTTCTTCCCCATGTGGAAGACCCCGATGGAGTGCCAGGCTCCCGGCTTTGGCCCAGCCCAGCCCTGCTACCATCGGCGTTTGGAGGCTGGACAAACTATTGGCAAATTTCCGTCTGTCTGTCTCTCTGTCTCCCCTGCCACCACTTGTTCCGTCTGTCACTCTGCCTTTGAAATTGAAGAATTACATATAAATTTCTGATTTTGTTTTTGTGCTAAAGCAAACCATCTTTGAAATTTCATATTCTGTTACCTTTTTCAACTCCCTTCATATATGAAGAATTATTTTTCAATTCAAGTGTATTACCTTCTGTGCACAGAAAATTTACTTAGAAGTTGTTTTTTTTTTTTTTTCATTTCCTTGCTTTTAATTCTTCTTGCTCTCTGCAAGATAAAATGTGCTAGGTACAGAAGAGAGAAAATTCTTGCTTAGTTCCCATGCCAGATTTTCTATTCAAATGAAACATTTGGCTTTTTAACAGCCAAATTTGATAAAGTTCAGAAGTTGCATCACCCACAATTTTAAAATAGATTAAAGCCCCTTAAATTCTTTTATTTGCGAGTGGTAGGAGGGAAAGTGTTTAAAACTCTGAGGATTTTTCTTTTTTTAAAGATTTATTTACTTTTATTGGAAAGTCATATTTACAGAAAGAAGAGACAGAGAGGAAAGATCTTTCTGTTGATTCACAACCAAATGGCTGCAATGGCCAGAGCTGCATGGATCCAAAACCAGGAACCGGGACCCTTTTGCAGGTCTCCCACACGGGTGCAGGGTCCCAAGGTTTTGGACCGTCCCTGACTGCTTTTGCAGGCCACAGGCAGGGAGCTGGAAGGGAAGTGGAGCAGCTGGGATTAGAACCATTGCCCATGTGGATCTTGATGTATGCAAAGCAAGGACTTCAGCCACTAGGCTACTGCTCCAAGCCCAAACCCTGAGGATTTTTAAAGATGTGTTTACTTATTTTAAAGTTAAAGAGAGAGAGAGAGATCTTCCATCCACTGATTGGTTCCCCAGGTAGCTGTGATGGCCACCACTGGGCCAGGCCAGAGCTAGGAACTTCATCCAGGTCTTGCACATGAGTGGTACTGGGATGGCCCAAGCACTTGGGCCAGCTTCTGCTGCCATTCCAGGCTACCAGCAGGGAGCTGGATCGGACAGTGGAAGAGCTGAGGCATGAACCCATACCCTTGTGGGATGCTGGGATCAGAAATGGCAGCTTTACCCTCTGTGCCATAACAGCGGACCTTTGAGTGAGGTTTTTTTTTTTTTTTTAAAGATTTACTTTTATTATTTTTTTTATTGGAAAGGCGGATATACAGAGAGGAGAGACAAAGAGGAAGATCTTCCATCCGATGATTCACTCCCCAAGTGAGCGCAACGGCCGATGCTTATGCCGATCCGAAGCCAGGAGCCTCTTCCGGGTCTCCCACGCGGGTGCAGGGTCCCAAAGCCTTGGGCCGTCCTTGACTGCTTTCCTGGGCCACAGGCAGGGAGCTGGAAGGG